GATGAACATCTTCAGAGCTGGGTGTCCTTCTTGTAAAAGTCAAATCTTAACACTAGGCCCAGAAGACCATCTGGCTTTTTCTTACCTTTTATATAGACTAAGCTAAGCCAAAAGAAAATAATGATTAAAAATTAAAAATTGAAAATTGAAAATCAAAAATCAAAAATTAAAAATTAAAAACTAAAAACTAAAAATTAAGAATTAAAAACCTAGATGGATATAGAGCGGTTTGGCTAATTATCTTTCATACTTGTCCTGCTACATTTGCTCGAGTGTGTGCGTGTGTGTGTGTGTGTTAGTGTCTATACGCAATACCGGTCCTAAATCAGAGTTATCCAAAGGTTAAAGTTTAATTTTCATTTGGCTCAATTGACTCTATAAAAGAAGTGCCATAGAGCCGGATAGTTTTCTTGGCCAAGTGTTAAGGTGAGACTCTTACAAGAATGTCACCCAGCTCTGATGAGGTCCGCCGAATGATGGACAAAAGCTCAGCCCCTTGTCTCCCGTGACGACGGCGGCAATCTCGTTACAACATTTTATAAAAGCCAAACGAGATTGCTCCGTCCTCATGTGGTGAGCTCGGCCAACGAATCTCTTCTCCATTCGCTTTCATACGAAGTAAAAGTCCCCCTAACAACGTATAAATAGACTTTTGTAAAGTGGACAGGCCTCATTTATGCTGGCGCCATTAGCCTGAAGGATGAGAGCCGTTTGGCAGGACAACGAAGCCAGAAGCTACAGTGTCGCCAGGCAAGAGCGTCTACTGGCGGCAGCTCAAGTAGTAGCCACACAATCGGAGAAGTGGGCAGAAGTGTGGTAATTGTGAAGTGTTTCGTCGGAGGGAAGCGGAAGTGAAGGAGAAAGCCTGTCTGCAGAATGCTAATGCCTCTGCCGCTAGAACGCCTCTCCACTCAGCCGGCCAGCCTGCATGCCTCCTCGCAGAACTGTCCGGCCTCCGGTCGCCGTGGCGTGAAGATTAGCATCGAGACTGTCGGAAATATGCTTCTCATTTTGCCCACCCCGTCGCGACGACAGGGCACATCCGATGCTTCCTACCGACGCAGTGTGGAGGGGACGGATGTTATGTCAGCGCTTTTTGGCAACTGGAACTTATCTCCAACTGTCGCATCTGCTGTATGTCCCCATATGCGTAGACATGCTTCGTGGACATGGTCTTGCAACACTGAAGCTAATCAGACCTACCTTCCGATTGGAAGTACCTCCGGAACGGGAGAGCTACGTCCAGACGCATGACGGATAGTGTTGTGAAGATGGGCATTTCGTATGAAAGTGCTCGCTAAAAAGATTCCTTGCTTGATTGCACCGTAAGACGACACCAGATTCGTGTCGCTCTGTAGCTGCTTGACTTTTAAACAACGCTTGGATTAAGGCGGTGCAAAATTAATTATTTGTACTACTACTCAAATAAAAAAGTAGTGTGACATGAACTATTTGAAAACAAAAATATTAGCCTACC